TTGATTTTTCCGTTTTATATGAATTCCTTGTTGTACGAGTCACTTAGATTTTACAAATACTGTGAACAGCTCACGTATTTGTAAAATCTAAGTGACTCGTACAACAAGGAATTCATATAAAACGGAAAAATCAACAGTGTTATAGGAGGGTCGACTGGTAATTACGAATTTGTATCACACAAGTAAAAATCGGATAAATTATACAAAGAATTATAACCAAAATTCTAAAGATGAATGAAAAATTAATTGGAAAAGGATGTCTTCAAAGTCAATTAACAGGGTGTTTTGTTTTAATAATTTAAACCCTAAACTGTGTTTATAAAACGTATTTTTACTTTACAAAATTGGAAAAAATACGATAAAAAACACGATTTGAATATGACAGAAATTTATTCTTTATAATATTAACTGATCTTTGGCTTCTCTGTATAAATTGTTGTTTCAATTAGATCTATTTACTTTTTTTTTTAAACCGAACGTTAGTTTTTAAATAATTAATATACTTATAATTACGGTGCTATATTAGCAAAAATATAGTAAATGTAAGAAATTAAAAAAAAAAACAAGTTGAAGAAAAAGACCATCATTCGTTTACGCAGAGATTAATGTAAAATCTTTTTTCTTTTTAATTAATGGTTGTGAAATTAATTATTGGAATGGCAATGGATTGATAATTTGATGAAAAAAAATTTAATTTAAAATGACTTTTTTTTTCTTTCTTTTACTTAAATTACTTAAATATTATTTTAATATTGTAGAGAAGTGAAATTTGAATTGAATGTAAGTTTTTCTTACAACATTTTTTTTTTACATTATTAATTATAATTAAGTTATTACAGAAATCGCGAATGAAACTACAGATATCTTCTTTATTAATAATAAGACACTAATCTATGAATATATATATATATTAGTAGGGCTTATAATAAATTTATATGATTCATATTTCGTTATTTTGATTGATTGTTACAAAGATTGTAATCATTTGTAACAAAGTAATTCTTAAAATACAATAAAAAGTTGAATTGAATTGTATTGTATTTTCATTGTTTATGATTGATATTTTATATTAATTATAATTAATTTAACAAAAATCAGCGTGCCTTTAAAATGAAACACGTTTTAATCACGAGAATGCATTTCTTTCAGCTGTAATTGACTATTTCAAAGTGTATTACTGAGTTATGCCGATGCCATTACGTTTCGTTTTACTGATCAGCCCTAAAGAAAAGTTTTAAATTTGGTTTTACTATTGACTTTTCTTTTCGTGCCCGAAGAACATTACAAAATTTCCATTTTAAGGTATATAAAGTTTGAAACTAATATTTGTATTTAATTATGACTGCCTGTCCTTTGTACAGAGAACAATGTACTACAATCTGATAGATAAAAATTAAGTTTATTACTTTAGATGTAGCCTAATTATGTATATGATGATCTTATATAATTTTAGTTTGAAGCTATTTAAATTCGTCTTTATGATTTAATAATTAACATCTCTATTATTAAGTTCCTCGTCGTTTAGATTCGTATGTCAAATAAGGTTATCGATGAAATAAATTTATCGTTTTCTATTCATTAAAAATTAAAAATAAATGATTAAAAAATTATTATAATTTTTGCTGATTTAAATATAAAAACGTTTATCGAATTAAGGAAAAATTCCATGTAGTCTAATTAAAGATATAAAGTTATAAAGTGATAAACTAGACCTAAAGGCATAAAATTAGTATTTATCAGATAATTAAATGGATGGACAAAATTGAGTTTTACTATTTATCACCTTGGTAATTAATTGCGTGACGGATATACAAGGAATAGCTACTCTCAAGATTTCCTGTCATTTCAAGCATCTCCATCCTCTCTTCATTTAAAGTGAATGATGTTTGAATTTATTAGTGATTGTGATGTGGAGAATATGAAGGATCCTCAAATGATTGCAAATATTTCTCAACACAGACAGTTCTTAAGTTTAATTACATATAAGTAAGATTATATAATGAATAGAACTACAATTATAATATTAAAAAAAAAAATTTAAAGTATTAATTAATAGATATTATTTAATATAAATCGTAATTAAAAATTTAAATAATTGCTCGAATATTTTAGTGAGAAATCGTTATTGGTTTTAATTTAAATGGAGCGAAGTCAATTAATAGCTGTGATAAAAATCAACATGGACTTGTCTTTGTCAATACTTGACAGCCAGTACTTGAAACGAATGACATTTAAATCTATTAACGAATGAAATAGTATGTGACGATTACAATTCTATTTAATGAATAAATATAGCATTTAAATGTCGTAGATATTCAGCAATCACAATTATTTTTCGATGTGTAATGGTAGTTCTAGGAATAGATCTATTCAATAGAATAGTATAGGATAAGCAAGAGATCCTAGGCAAAGCCTAAGGCATGGAGTTAGGGATCTCATACTCGATGATATGTTTTCCGATAACTCAGTCTTCATATAGTTTCAGAGCCTTATTTAACGTAATAACTACCTGGGGTATTGTCCAGGTAGTGATTCTAGTTGCTCAGGCTGTGATAAGCATTTGTCCAAATGGAAAGGAGCACAAGATGATGGGTTCAGTACTGTACTCACCTGAGATTGCAGTGTCTAATATTCTTCAGAACAACTTCTATTTAAGTGCGTTTTGATTGATTAAGTAAATGTCATATTAAGTAAAGTTAATAAATAGTCACGATTTTGTTAATTTAACAAAAATTCTACAAATGTTATTAACGTTGCTTGAAATTCTTCATAAGAAAATTTAAAAAAACAAAATTTATTTGAAGATTAAATACAAATACATTTGAAAGGGCTTGGTGATTATAAGAATGAAATTTCAGGAAGGCGTCCAGGACCACTATTTGACATGTGAGGGATGGGGCGAGATTTTCAAGAACGAGAGCGCCAGTCAATTTTGCTCCTGTAGCTTTAAAACCTATAAAAATGGGTTATAAAACGTTCGAAATTCAATAGTATCAAGATCCATGATCATACAACATTAAGTATTGTGTAATAAACTTATATAAAATAGAAGACTCGCAAGTACACGCTTGTATAGGGCCTCGTACTGTCTAAAACGATCAACGTAAATATGCACGCTCTTTTTTTTTAAGTAAAAACGTTTATACATTGATGGGGAGACGTATTGATACACAATATGTGCCCATACTTTATATTAAAAATTTATAAAATATTTTATAAACTATTTATTAGCAAATATTTTTACCAATTAAATACAGTAAACATAATTAATTTTATTACTTTGTATTTACTTTGTTTCTCAAACAAGCTTTAACTCAAATAATGGTTGTATCTTCCAGGCAAATGTTCAATTAAAAAGAAAAAATAATAATAGTATCCTCTTAATCTATAATATCCTTGAAAAACCATTGGTTATTAACTACTGTATACAAAGGGGGAAGGAAAAAGTAAAAAAATATATATATATAATCAAGCTTTTGATTTAAATCTTTAAATTCTGTTGATAATAACTACTTTAAAAGTTTGCTTCTACTTTCGTTAAAATAGTAAGAGTTTTTAAAACTAATTTACTTCTATACTGTATTTATAATACTTAATAATGTACTATACAAGTAAATCGCTGTCTCTAACAGATGATAACTATTAATTTTAATTGTAAGAGTATTGTATAAGATAATAACAGCGCGCGTACAAGTGTGTAGATGTATTGTGCCAGACATCGTAAGCATTTATTAAAATTCTGACAGGAAGAAATGCCGAAAAGACGAACAAATGACTGCTACACTTTTCAAAAATAGAGAAAAAATAATAAACCGTGAAGATATCTCTAAGTTCTGTCACATCATCAAAACTTTGACAAAAGTTAAAAAAAAGAAAAGAAAAAGATCGCTAACAGGTGTGACTGAGATGTTTTTCTTTTCGAATTTTTCCACTTTTTGTTATTATAACAGTATTTCAAAATCTACTGTTTTCTTTTTCAATCTATAATTCATATAAAAAAAAAGTGTTACAAGTTTTAAATTAACCTTTATTTTTTTATAAATTACATTAATTTGGAATTCGTATATATTTATATATTCTTAATCCTTGAAAAATGCTAATTCTTGGATACATTTTTAGGTCTAGTAAGCCTACAAGGCCATAAAAACATTACTAAAGCATAATGTAAAACAATTTTATAATATTCAGGATTGAACTAAAAGTCAGTTAACCGTTATAAAGACTAACTTTCTGTCTTATTCAAATATTTAATTACTTNCCTATATTTTATCGTGCTCTATTGGCAAATAGAAAAAGATTCTAAATTGTTCCTCTAGGACAAATTTTTGTTCGTTAAATCGAGAGTCTACTGTATTTTGATAAGCTAGTGTATATATATATATATAAATGCCAATAAGTTCAACTTAATATAATGTAAACACGCCTTTTATTTCTCTAATCAATTTGGCACAAAGAAATTATTATTAGATTTAAACAATTATGTGAAGAAATCTAATTTGTCACGAATATTATTATTATTATTATTATTTTGATCCGTCTGTAGAGATATGTGAAGTAATGAAAAAGTTTTTCCTTATGAAATAATGTGAAGACAACAAAACTGCATTATGGAACTTGATTTTTATCTTTATAAAATGCTTTTTTAAAGTAATAATTTAGTAATAAAGATGAAACTATTTCTTTCCTTAAAGGCTTTATAATTTTAATTTTTTAAGATGTAGAAATTAAATGAAAAGTATCGCAGAATATTAAGAGTTAGCTAGATTTATTATTCATGCCAATTATTAATTAAAGTAAAGTACAGTAAAGGGATCGAACTTCCAAAACTTCTCATCTAAAGGTAAAAATATCTAAACCACGTGCGATTTTGAATAACTATCGTAACAAATAATATAATACTTTATAGCGAATCATCGACTTACTTATTTCATTCTTGTTATAAATAAATGATTAAATTATTGTTTTTGTAATCTCATCTTTTTTTTTTTCAATAAACGTAGGTTATGGATGTGGTGGAATGGCTGATGGATAATCTTCAGATTGAAGATACAGGTACATTTTTTTAAAAAAATAATTAAAAAATCTATGAAGAATAATTTTAAAAAAATTATTTTATAATAATGATATTTATTTTTATAGCGGAAGCTTTACATCTTGCTAATTTACTTTGTCAGCATGGTTATTTCTTCCCCGTTAATGACAATAAACCATTAACGATTAAAGATGACAGCACATTATACAGATTTCAAGTAAGATTTGTCGTAATTTTTATTAAATTTACGTATGAAATTTTTAAAATCGTATGTCTTAATAACATTTATTCATAACTTGCAATAAAACTTATTTGTTTTTCCTGTAGACTCCTTATTTTTGGCCTTCTCATCATCAACCTAATAATACAGATTATGGTAAATTTTATTATTTCGATTTATATGTAATTAATATTAAAAGCTAAAAATAATTTTTACATTAAATTTTCAAATATTTTTAATACTGTGTATTTAAAAATTAATTCACAAATATTAGATAATTATATAGATATTTATTAATACATTTATATTATTATATACGTACCTTTTTTTATTAGCTATTTACCTTGTCAAACAAACAAAGAAAAATAAGCAGAAACATAATTTAGAAGAATATGAACAGGTAAATTTTTAAAAATTATAAATAAACATTGATACATTATTTATTTATTTAATTAGTTCATACATTTATATTTTTTATACATGTATATGTTTTAAAACTGATCAACTCTTACTTTAGGAAGCATTAGCAAGATTAAAGAAACTATTGTGCCACAAATGGGAATTTATATGTCTTCAAGCAGAAGAACAGGCAAAGTATGTATAACTATTTTAAAATAACAATAACTAAATGCATACCTTTAGCATTATTATCTATACTGGGTTATTATTATTCGTCCTGGCCTATATCCCAGATTATTTGGGGTCAGCCCGGAATGTCAATTTACGCCACGTTGGTCTATCTCTAATTGTTTCTTCATCCACTCCACAGTCCAGCATATCTGTTTTTACACATTCAATCCATCTCTTCTTAGGTCTTCCTCTACCTCTATCTCCCTGTACTTTCATATTTAGTGCCTTTTATTATTATTATTATTATTATTACGATAAAGCACTAGTGTTTCTGCTATTTGTGTTTGTCACAAAGCTACGAAAATGGCAAACACAAATGTCCTTTTTTGAAATATTTGAAGATTTCTACATTCAACGATGAATGATTTTGTTGCAAACCCCGACTGAAACTTAATGATCCATAACTACAAGCGCCTATTTATTTTTCCTATATCGAAAAACTATTTCTATATCAAAAGCAATAAGTTTCTAAAAATAATGACAAATGAATCCTTGTAGGGTTCTTTCCATTGTAAATAATATAAAACACACTTCATTCGTTCTTCAATGTTGATAAATAATAAACATCATAAAACTGATTTCAAAAATGTATTTTTCTTGCATAATAATAATAATGACACAACGAAATGATTTAATCTACAATTTCATTTATCTAATTAATAGCAAATTCCTGATGCGAGACTAGATAAATTATTTTTAACATATATTTCCATTATAATGAATTATTTCAGTGTTGCAACATTACATTTCAAAATTCAAAATACGGAATTTACGTTATTACGAGTAAGATAATGTAATCGTGTATTAATTTACATTATTTTATATACAGTTTATCGTGTATTTAAAACTATGTATTTGATTTTTTTTAACAAAATAAATATTAAATTTTTTTTTAACCGTAAAGAAGTTGCCATGTTTTTTTTTTTTTTTAAATGTGAATTCTGGTACATTCATTGTGAGAAGTTATTTTATTTAAACACGAATGGATTATATTCTATCTTCACGCATAACTTCTTTAGTATTATTTCCATTTGTCCCTTCCATTGTCAACTCTTTTCCTGTTGATTTTGAATGGCATTAATGGTAATTCTTCTTCAAATTAGCATGTAATGAGGAAATTTACATATGCTATTTATGTATACACGACAAAATATTTATAATTTAACCAAAACTGATACACAATAAGCCCTCGATTTCACGGCCTAATTGGGGGAAGGAATGTCCACTATTGTCGAAAGTCCCTTAAATCGAATGCGTTTCAAAAACATATTAATTAATAATGAATTTACAAAGTACATTATTTATACTTATACATTTTAATGCATTAAAATGTGTAAGTATAAATAAAATACTACTATAATGCACTGTATATTTGAGTAATTTTTACTCATTGAGTCATTGACCTATATTTTATCGTGCTCTATTGGCAAATAGAAAAAGATTCTAAATTGTTCCTCTAGGACAAATTTTTGTTCGTTAAATCGAGAGTCTACTGTAATTTGATAAGCTAGTGTATATATATATATATATATATAAATGCCAATAAGTTCAACTTAATATAATGTAAACACGCCTTTTATTTCTCTAATCAATTTGGCACAAAGAAATTATTATTAGATTTAAACAATTATGTGAAGAAATCTACTTTCAAATACAAGTGTTATAGAAATTCAATTTTAATAATAATATTGCTACGTTGAACACACTTAAAATCAAAATTATCTTTGAAAATCGATACAAAGAAAAAACAGTAATTTATTAAATATTGTGTTAAAAACTTACACAAACTTCTTTGAAGATCAATATTTTATTTACTAAATTTTCCAAATGTTAAAAGTATTTTTCAAACGACTAAAATAATTACGATTCATTCGCATAAGAAAGAAAATTGAATGTTTTAATTTAGGACAGTAATTTGGATATTGTAAATGATCAATTGATAACAACAGTTTTCAGCATCTGAATCCAAATAAATATTCGTACTGAGAATTAGGAGAAACTTATTTGTTCATAGTTTTGTTTGATTTTTCGATTCTAATGCTTTAATCACGCGAAATGATTGTTACATTTCACAAATCCCCATGGTGCCGTCCTTATAACGTTTAATTTAGTTTTATTGTTTATTTAAACAAAATTACAAGTGACTAATTAAAGTAATATGCAAATTATAAGAATTACAATTATCTCGGAAACGGTTGCTTCTATCGAAACTAAAATATCTTCATAGCAATAGAGTTTGGCATACTTATAAGTATACTATAGTATATTATTACATAAACTATACTATTATTTTACAATTTAGATGCATCTGCATTAAAAAGAAAATGACTAAATGCTTAAAAATGATCATTTATCACGCTGAAAAAAGCAAAAATGTCAGACAAACTATCAAAGATTAATGTTGTATATATTTAATTAAATCGGTCTTAAGTATTTCAAATACAATTAAACCTTTTCTCCGAAGTTCTTTAGGGTTTCATACCCACGTAAAGTTAAACGCTTCGAAGTAATTTATGGAAATACAATACAGACGTCATCGTTGTCTCCTCCTTTATACATTGGACTATGTGATATTTCTAATAGTCTTTACAATTTTTTTCAAATAACTACAAACAATATATTCATCCGTTCCCATGAATTGTTTCTCATCATTCTATATCAACAGACATATGCATTATGTACCCGGTACTATTTAAAACTAATTACAACTCCTGTACAATATTTGTGGATGCTTTTATGATATTAAAAACACTTGATATTTATATTAATGTATTCATAAACTCATGCCTGAGATGCATCAGTTTACGAATACATTAATGTAAATATGGAGTGTAAGGAATAATTAAATAATTAGCAAGATACAGTTAAATTTATATTTGCTTCTTTCAATTTTATTTCTGTATCTATTCATAAAACATAGTTTACATTTCATTTATGTATTGCTTGACTTTTAACAAGTGACGATTTCATTTTTTAATATTATATAAATTTTTATACAAAATGTCAACATGAAATTTTAAAATGTTTTCGTTTTTATATCAGTTTATTGAAAGAAAGGAAGAAAACGGACAAAATTGTCTTAGAAAGTCAAGAGAGAGCGTATTGGCACGTTCACCAGCCTCCTGTATGTATCAGTATTGTTCTGTTTGTTCTATAAAATTTTAATTGTGATTTTTATGTTGAATATTATCATAATGATTTTCTGTAACTATTAAGAAACCATTGAACAGCTGGTAGTTGGTCGTGGTTTCGTGGCCAGCCTATTGGTAAATAGGAGCCAGTTTACTATAAAAGACATCTTCGGCAGATAGTCCACGTGTCGCGTTGTCGTATACCAATAAAATAAATAAAAAGTTTTTGAAAAATGCTTTTATATTTTGTCAGTTTCGGCGCCCGATTCAACATTAATTACAAAAATAATTCTTTGGGGTTCATTTTGGCGCACCCGATGTCGGTGTCCTTCTTCTTCCCTTTTAATTACGCCACTGTATTTTATGTTATACTATCGAAATTTAAAGAATTAATAATACACTTCGATGATTTTTTTCTAGTGAAAGAAAATCAGTAATGAATTCATCCAGTAATAAAGATTGTTCAACTGGAAAAAATTTGTAATCAGAGAAATACGGGTATTCTTTTAATTCAAAGTATTGAGGAAACATCTATACCAGGAATGGCGAACTTTTTGAGTTCGCGTGCCATATAGTAAGCATACTTAACATTAAAAATGTTTGTGCGTGCCGAAGTTTTAATTAAAATAAATGTAAAGAAGCTGATTGAAAAAGACAGTCTGATACGTTGTGCCACGAGTTCGCCGGCTCTAGTCTATACCTTTTGCTTATAGAATTTCGTTCGTGATTTAAATTTGTAAATTGTTACTACAACAGGAGAAAATTTTTTGAAAATGATCATTATATATAAGAAATTAATATATTTCAGCCTGGTTGTATTAATTGTTTGGAACAGAGTCCAATTTCGAATAAGAGAACTAAAAGGAAGAAAACAGTCAAAGATTTAAAGTTGGAGGTAATATATTTATTCATTTAAGGTTAAATCTTGATATTAAATTGCAATTATATATTCTTTTTTTTAGATAGAAATGTTGAATAATAATTTGACAAGATCTAGATTTAAAGTCTCTCAAGCTGTTGAAAGGTGGGACATAGTTATGATCAGATTTTCTTTAAATTTTCAAGGCAATTATTAAAACTTTTTAAATATTTTCTTAAATAAATTATAGATTAAATATAATTCTACATCGATTTCTATTTTTAGTTTGATTCATTGGTGGGAATCTTATTCCGAATTTGACCCCTTTCTAACTCCTGTTCCGCCAAGTAATCCCTGGGTAACGGATGACACAACGCTTTGGACAATCGATGGCAGGGTGTAAGTTCCTTTGTTTTATGCATTATAAAATATAACTTTTTTTACAAAACAAACAAAATTTTGTTATTCAAACTAATAAATACCAGAGTTGTGTTCCGTGCGTGTGAATTTGACTCTACTAACACACTATAGATGTAAGTAAATAATGGAATACTTCCATACTTCTTTTTTCAATACATAGCATGTAAAATGAATAAGTTAAGACGAACTGAAATTAAGAACAAAAAAAGGCTTCTTTGAAGAGGTATTAATTGGGCTGTAATTTGAAAAACTTGTAGAGTTAGATAAATGAAAGACGAAACTAGATATGGAAACCTTAGGGGCAGGAGGCCCCGGATTAACTATATGATGCAAACCGGAAGTTACTTTATTTCAATTCAAACGTTTCCCCTGAAAGAAGTTAGATAGATGACCGGCACGACTCGATTGCTAAATGTAAAGCATGATGTACAGGAACAAGACTATTAACAGTGAAGGTAAAGAGCATATTTAATTTAATTAACGCCTCGACCTCTCAAACAATCAATTTTGGTTCAATGTGAGTGAGCGCTATTAATGATATAGCAGACATACCATCTGAATTCAATTTCCTGCTAAACGCAAATCTGCATATCTTGTCATTTTGGTAATTGCGACGGTGATTCAAGTTTTGAGCTCAGCGAGATTTGTAAAATGAACTCCAATTTTTAAACTCCAAAAGAAAACATCGAGGAGTCAAATATGGGGACATGGCCAAGTTAGCGGCTGCTAAACCAATCTTACAACGTAGGAAATGCGAGGTCCCGAATTGGGGATATCCAAATGCCAGGATTTATCGTATGTGGGGTGAAGGAAAGTGAGGCAGATAGCTGCAGTGACAAATAAAATCCGTTTATTTATACTAAGTCTTACAATCTAGTACGTCTCGTCAACTGTAGGCGCTGGACTGTAGAGTCGATGGCCCCGACTCTACACTCGGATTTCCCGACACCATAGAAGCATCTCGACTGACCGCCAGGTCAGTCGAGATGCTTCTATGGTGTCGGGAAATCCGGTGATCAATAGTGAAAACCAGAAGTCCAAGGCAGGATGGTATCGTTAGGGATGAAGACAAGGCAGATAACTTCACAACAGGAGGCAGAGGAAAGTCCAGTCAGATGACTTTACAGTCGGAAACTGGGAAAAGTCTGCATAGTTAACCTCACAGGGAAAAAGTCTGCCTTTGTCCTTCAGATCCAACTTTTAAAAAGATTCTCTTCCCCTGATCTCTAACTTTCGATTGGTCGGTTTGCTGTATTTAGACAGATAACAGACCATTTCGGGCTACCAACGGTTTAATTCGACACTGTGATTCATTCGATCAAGGGAAATTAATCGCACCTTGAAATTCCTGCTCGTATTTAAGCGTTTCGAAATCTTAAGTCTAACACATGATAACCTTTTAGGGTTATTTAAAACTTATTTTTTCTTTCTCTCGACTAATTTTATTATTTCTAGATTTTATTTACGTTTTTCTTCCACTTTTTACCAGCGTTAGAATCAAACCGATTCCTGATTTGACACGTGTTAAAAATATAAAAATATTTTTAACACGTGAGCTCGAGTATCGCTCGGGGCTCAGAAATATTGTCATAGATCGTCGAAATTCGAGTATGGTGATCGCAAATATTTCAGCAGCAGACAATGCGGGTTTACGTGCGACACGATGTCAATTGCTTTTAATATTCGTCTAAATCGGGTTTAACTACGCTGTGCATGTAATTTTGAACAATGTATAAGATTACTCTTCTATTTTTTTTTTTTTGTTATTTTAAAATCTCGTATTTCAAACACGTGTAATTTGAGAATCCATTATACTTCATCGAATAGCTATAGTATACTTTATATCGAATAGCTTTTTTTTTTTTTTTACAAGATTTAAAATGAATGCCAAACAATTGCAGTATTCACTATTTTATAAAATTAGAAATTTGATTTCTCAACAGTACATTCAAATATGTTGTTTTTATATCTAGTTCCATAATGAAGAATTAGCCTATTATTACTATTGGTATTAAAATTAGTAAAAATTATAAAAAAACAAATCTTTTGTAATACAAATAAGTACAATATATTCTAAAACAGACTTTTAATTATTTTTTTTTTCATTTTTAATTTAAAATTTGTTGCTTTTGAAAATCTTCACAAACAAAACCAAATGTATTGTAAAACATATTTAAATACTGAACTAAAATATACTGCATTATTGAAATAAAGAAAAACTATAGTTCTTGAAACACTTTTTTCCAGTTGTACTGTAACTTTCATATCAGATTTATCCATTTATAAAACTACTGTATTTCGATTTTTTAAAATGTTTTTATTGAATAAACCATGAGAATTTTGCAAGATGCATTTTATAAAAGAATTAAAGGATAAAAATTCTTCCAACCTTTTCTATTGACGAACTTATTGCATTACTAAAATAAAATATTAAAATGTTATAAAATTTAAATAATTAATTTTCCCCCCACAACTATACTTCTGTTTAAAATACCATTCACCTCCCATACACACATTTTTCTTAAAATTAGCATGATGAAAAATCCAATAATTTATTGCTAGATTCAAGTAACCAGGGGCTTAGATTCTTCCACTATGATTAATTTCATGATGGAAGAAATTGAAAAGATTAATATAAAATAATAACCATCTTTAAGTGATATAATATAATAACTACCTAATTTATTTTTATGCAATAACAAGTGAAACAATGAATTTCAGAATGAGGATGTCTACTATAAACTAAAAAATTCCACTATAAGTTAGTAATAACCTGAAATCCTCAATCTGAAGAAAATACATATAGTCTGCACACATTTAGTATGAATCATCATTATCAGGGTGTTTACCAATGAGCAAAAATTAAATCTGAGTACATTGTTGTCAGTATATTTTAAGTATTTGTCAGAAAATTTGGAATACCATTGGAACCAATTCACAAATCCTCACAGTATAAAATTTATGCTTAAACTTTGTGAGTTAGCAACATATTACATGAAATAAATGATGGATTGCAATATTTTAATAAATAGTAGTAGTAAAATACCAATTTGTGACAATATAAGTGAATTTATAATATATAATATTAAAATACATATTTTAAATAAAAACTAAGAAGTATGTTGCTGGGAGTAATTCCTTGCAAAGTTACACTGGTTAAAGTTGTGAATCTAAGCCATTATTAACTTGTTATTTTTAAAATAAACATTACAAATAAGCCAGATTTCTCTAAGTACTATACATGTTTAATGTAACGAAATTCTCCAAAGTGCAATACACACTAGTAATATAAGGCTTGTCATAACTTCAGAAAACAAGCAGGAAGCACCTTACACAATTTTGCTAAACAGTAAGGGTTTTTCAATAATTTTCCAGCCAAGTTCATATTAGAAACATATTGTAATCTCTTCTCAACTGCAAGATTTCCTTCAGTCCTTTGTATGCATTTCCAACACCCAAGCCAATGAAAATGAAATGAACTTGCAAATGTAAATGGTTATTACTAATTTAACTTTCCCAGCTGTGTTATATATAACAGAAGGAAAGTATGGCCCAAGATTTTTACATTTTTGGACTCAGGACCTTTAAACATAATACAGAAAAAAAATTTCCCAACATTTTTTGCTTGTATGGATGTTAGTGAGGAGCACGATTTTGTTCACGCACTTTGAAGTACTACAGTCCTAAAAACTAGTCTATGTCATACTTCCAGATTTTTGTGAGATCTTGTTTGTGAAAGTTAAGAGTTGTTTTGAATTTGCATAAAATAATGTATTTGGACAATATGGTAGCTTATAATGTGTGTGCCAGAAACCCCTGACAGTTTTTAAATTTTAATTTGCAGGACATGAAAATAACATTTTGTAAATGGCCACTAAGATATAACAATGTTACACATTCCTTCTTCATAAAAAAATGTACACGTGCAAAACTATAAATATTTATCCTTTCCCTTCAAGTGTTATTTTATTTTAAAAACTGTCAGGTGTATCTGGGTCCTGTATAAAATGCTCCAATCTATTGAAAGTTTATAATATCAAAACTTTATTTTTATTAGAGTGGACCCTCCAACAGAGAAACGTGTCAAAAAATGGGCAATATCATTGGAAGAAATGCTCTCAGATCCAAGAGGAATGTATGAATTTGAACAATACTTACGTAAAGAGTACAGCTATGAAAATATAAAATTTTGGCAGTCTGTGCAAGATTTACGACATGGTTGTCAAACAGAAGTTAATGAAAAAGTGAAAGAAATATACGAGTAAAGATTTATTTATTTATTATTTAACAATATATTTTAGATAATAAAAAAGAAAATTATTCTTTACAGTGAATTTCTCTCTCCAAATGCACCATGTGAAGTCAATTTGGATAGTAAAACAATAGAAATTACTCAAGAAAGAATGAAGCAACCAAATCGTTATACTTTTGATTCTGCTCAAATGCATGTGTTTTCATTGATGAAAAATGATACCTATCCTAGATTCATTCGATCTGATCATTATCATAATCTTATTGTGAATGCAGTACAACCAAGTGCTAAGAAAAAGTAAGTAATTCAAAATAACATAAAACGAAGGTAGTTTTAAAATTTCTAAATATTTTAATGTAAATAAATTAGATTTTGCAACTTTGGCACATCAGTGAGAAAAAAATCTGCACCAACACCTAGCACAAGCACTAAGCACAGAGGTAGTAGTGGTCAGTTATCAGGAAGCATCATAGATTTAACCCCAGGTCTAATGGATAAAATGAAATGGCCCTTTTGCGGAAGGCACTCTCATAGCACAAGTGATTTGCACGAATTAGGAACTCCACACGATAGAACTGCATCTAGCACGTTAGTAAAAATATTTTATGATTCTATTTTTCTGTACCACATTCTATTAACTAAAAGGTGAGATAAAAAATGATATGACAATAAATTAAGATTTATTTATTTATCCAATTTTTACAGGCATCACTACAGCATTTGATAATCACCTCTATAAAAACCTCAAAGTATTAAAATGAATTATTTTAATTCTGCATTTTTTTTTTCCCTACAGTATGTCATCTCCATCTGGTTCTCATGAACACATGAATGAGGCAGCTCACAGCATGCTTCAAGTTCCTCGTTGGACACACAGAGGAAGCGACAGTACAGTACTGGAAGATCCAAACCTTGGATTATTCTTAGCAGTACCTAGTCAGATTAAGAGTTTAGTAGCACCTTGGGAAACAAAAACATGATCTCAATTTCCATTTAACAAATGCAGACAAGTTATGGATGAAGTATGAGATGTGATATGGACTATTTACTTATTTATTGTGCCAAGAATTCTGTAATGTATATTTTTGTTAAATTAATTTGTGAAAGTGTTTACTATAATTTTATTTGTTATTTTTCCTAATATATGCATAAGGCAAAGCACAAAAAAAAATTTATTTTTTGGCAAAAATCAAAAGATGTATCAGCTACTGAAAAGCAAACGAATAGATTGTTTACTAAGACTAATTACATGAGAGTCCTATTTTAAAACTGTGATTAGGCAAGTCTTCCTTCAAAATATACTTAATATTTAAGATTGCAAATATGACAATAGTCAACAGAAATAAATATAAAATTTAAATTGACATATTTTTATTAGAAACAAGATAAAATTTCTCTAATTGATATCAGCTCCATTATTAAATGTCATCAAGTTTCAAATTTTATAAATGTTAGTGATTAGTATAATAGAATTTTTGAAAGTAAGAAATGTACTTAATAGCATCAACATTTATTTTGTACTGTACATATGAACATTATATGCAGTCAAACAAGTTGCACTTTGATAATTTAAATTATAAAAACATTAGATATGATTGAAATGAAGTTAATTATATTATTATATACACAGATTACTGGTTTATTCAAATAGCACAGCTATTATTTCAAACTACATATATTTTCTTTGCAGTTAGTTCTTTATTAAAAATGGACATTAATTGGATATGTGCAATAAAGTATTTAAATATCTATTTGAGGGCAGTTATTACTTCAGACTAAGACAAAATGTCATTATTATTTGAATAATACCAGTATGCTGTGAACTTATTGTTAATGATTGATTTTGATAGACATATATAAGAATAAAATTAGAATTATAAACACAAGATTGAATTCAATTATTTTGACTGCACATAATATATTATGATACATTCACACAATGTAGTTTGTTGATGTGTTAAAATTTCAAAAAATTAAGATTGTAATCGAAACATTGATTCAGATTCTTTTGTATACAACAGCAATTGGTAGTGTGTTGACCAATATGACAATCTTCTAATGATTGGAATAAATACATATTTTAGATATTAACATTTCCAATATTCAATATATTAAAGAATAAAACTTAAAAAAAACTATTTTCTTTTCAGAAAACTTTTAAAAAACACTAGTTAAATTCTTAATATCAGTGATAATAGTATTCAATACAATTACCACTCATTCCTTTGAGGAATATATAATTTATAAAATGAAACATTTTAACAGTAACTGAAATTAATTAAGAAAATATTTCATATGACAATATTGAAATATTCATCTGTCTAATATAAGACAAAAAAAAATTTAAAAAATGTATAATTTTTATTATAAATTGCTATTCTGAAACAATGAGTGCTTTTAAAAATGATTGTTAAAAATTTTATAATAGCTAAAACTCTTTCTGATAAGGCTATTTATAAATCCATATAGATTTTCAGATCTGTTTTGTCTTATTCTGTAATATATATGAGAATATAAATTACTGCATACTAATTTATTTCAAAATAACAAGATTCATCTAATTACAACTGCATATATTAAAATGAAATTTATTTGAATTAAGCAAATTTATGGTGCAAAGTTTTTTTTTTGGTCTATTCCAAAAACTATGCTTGGCTACAGGAAAAAATTATATTTACTTTAAGTGATTTTATTATAAAATAATTTTTTTTGTTCATTCAATCAAACAAAACTGTCTCTTAATATTTATTCTATTCCTCCAAAGAAAAATGCTTTGTAAAGCAATAAATAAAAATATTTGAATTTAAAAAATACACAAATAGACTTCATTATCAATAATTTTACAACTGACTCCTAAAAATAAATTTCAGAAAACTATTTTACTCAGTTCGGTTCTAAAAACATTTTATTACAAATAGTAATATTTGTATATATATATATTGTTTACATATCATATTATATCACAATGTAATAATTAAATAATTTACTTTGTTAATTTTAATACAGTAAAACAAAATTATATTATTCTTAAAATATAATTTTGCTATGTTTTGGAAATTTAAATTTATATAATACAAAATATTCACTGTTTGCCTTATTTTAAACATTATTTTGCTTAAATAATTTATTTATTCTGCCTCAAAGAATGAATACCTTGTTAGGAATGACTTTTTTAAGTTAAAATGAACACATAGCAAGATTAAAAAATTATAAGCTTTAGAAATATGTAAACAATAAAACTTAATTTACTTGTGTCATGAAGTGTGTTTAATAAATAGAAAATAAAATTTGACTTAAATAACACACATTTATAAGACCAATGATGATAAATTACAATTCCTGAAAATCTAAAACTGAATTGTTTCAATTAATATCTATATATTAGCTACAACTGAAATTTCCAAAAGACGTATTATTTTTAAGCCCAATATAAATTAGATAAAACTTTTCCATTTTCATTGCAATATCCGTCCAGAGCAGTTTTCAGATTTACACAATGATCAGTTGCTAAAAATAAAACACTATTTAAATTACATTAAATAATTAGAATTTTATTTTTTAAAAATTTGGCAATTTTCAATTTAATTTTTTAACAAATTTTGTCTTCAAGAAAAAGGTCATTTTGCAAACAAGTATTTATTCCAATCAGATTGATTAGAATTTATGTATTATACATTGTACATTATTTATGCACCTTGAATGAAAGTAATTTTAATTCTAAAAATTATTTTGTGAAATCTTTTTAAATCAAATCCCATTATTATAATAAAACAACAATTATGTTGCCAGTTAGAAATGTTATGAAAAACATTTCAATTATATCTGTAAAGTGTATGTAGATAATGATGCATGACAAATATTCTGTATTATTTTTCATTATAATGTAAAAATTTATGCCATGTATATTAGTGTAAAAAAAAAACAAAAAACAATCTGTGTGCATTTTATCCATATTGTTAATTTGTTCAATGAAGAGAAATAGCTTCATGTTGATTTAACAAATTTGTGATTTAAAATAGTTATGGTAATTTATTTTGAAATAATCGTTTTATTCAATAAAAATTCACTATGTTTTCATGAATGTAAAGCAAATTTTACTTGTAATCAATCTAACTGTGTTATAAAATATTGAATCTACAGAGAAAGTTTTTGCCTCTATTCATTTAACATATTTAATAGTGCTTAAGTTAACTCCAAAGTAATTTCATAATAATTTTCATTGTCAAATGATGTAAAATTTTCATAGTATTAAACAGAATTAAAAACAAAAATAATCTACAAGACGAGTTTTATTCAGAATTTAAATTATTGCACGCCAACAATTACTTGGACTTGATAAAACAAGAGCCAATTTTGTAATCAATAATTTCATTAAATGTGTAGAAATCAATGTTATTTGAAGACAAGAATGTTTAAGATCTGTAAAATTCGTTTATGACGAAAATGACAAAAACAAACCTATTACAAAAATAAAGTGAACATGCACAAAGTTAAAAATTGTATTCTACTCTTTTTATACAACATAAAATAGAACCATGGCAACTGTTGACTTTGTTTTGGAAGTTCAAAATTACCAATAATTCAAATTGGCGTTGTTTACTTCCAGCTGAACGACACATGCAGGCTGCTATGCTTTCCCACTGTAAATCCTCGACTAGAAAGGCACTCGGCAACCCATAAGTTCAGGCAAAGGGAGAAGAGGATTGAGAAGAATAGATCTTTTAATTAACTGTACGGCAAAATGTTCACACCGACACACCTGTGTACAATGTTGCACCAAAGTCACCGTTTTCTCAATGCCACTTGTAGTGTTGTACACAATGATTCTAATGAATTTCAAACAAAAATTTAAATCATAACCTTTTCAGAGTCCTCCTTTTATCTTTCATGATTTTAAGATTTTTTTTGTCTATGGAAGATTTATTTTTGTCTCCTGCATGTTTTTTTGCCATTGGGCCATCACCAACCTTCAGGGGATAATTTCCCGCATTTGATGAAGAGGGATCCATCTCTAGCCCTTCTTTATGAAATTTTGGAGGTTGAGCATGAATTTCAGTCATCATTTTTGCTCGTTTGCAGTAATCGTCATAGTGGTCAAGCAATAACTTTCCAGCTTCTTCATTTAGTGCAGATTCAGGATTTGGAACTATCAAAAGGCATTTGATGGTCTGAAAAAATATTTTTAATATCAATTATTTTGTAGAAATGGAATTATAAATGTAAATCACTATATTTTTTGCTTAATATAAATGTTTTTTAATTACAAAATAGAAAAATTTCATTAAAAATAATAACAGGATTCATTATTTTACAAGAAAAGTAAAAATAAGCAATACATCAAAGAATTATTGTTTAATTGATGCATTCCTAGTTCTTTAAAATCAGTTTAATTTGTAATATTAATTAATTAATTAATATAGTATTTACCAGTACCTATGTCAAGAACTATTTAAGAAAAAACAAAAGTCAAAGTTATATTTATTTCTTATAGCAGAATTTTGAATTAAAATAGAAAGTAATAAACATTACAAATATATATAAAGTTTAAAATATTAAAATTTCTGAATTATCAGGAAACACCTCATGGCTATTATGACTGAAAATGTATCAAGACCATATGATTATCATTAACTACAAGAATATATATAAAATTAAATCTCAATTCTTTATTAGAAATATTTGATAAATATAAGAAACATCCATATTACAAGTTACATATAAGTTAAACTGCAAATATATTATTGTTTGAACTGTGACTCAAAATATTGTCAATATTGTTAAATTAAGTGCAAGAAATACAGTAAATCTCCACTAACTTGGACTAATAGGGGTGAAGGTTGTCCAAGTTAACAATATTTTCTGTGATAAGGAAAATAAGATGGATATATGGTATAGTAATTTATTACTAAGTTCTACACAAAAGTTTTATTGAACTTTAAATGGTTACACTACTGAATTTATTATTTATTGAACAGGAAATAGCTTTTTATTAAAATTACCTCATTAATAATTATTATTAAATTATTAGGAAAACAATTTATTTATAGATAGGAATAAGTAATAATCACTTTTAAAAACAGACTAGGAAATCTTTTGTTTTTTAAAACAGTCTTACATAAAACTAGCCAGAATCCATTAAATATTTGTTATAATTAAAATATTAGTTTGATATCATGGTCATTACAACTTTGAATTGTATTCATACTAAATAAAATCTCCAAATATTTTTGTAAATGTTATTTGTCTTTCTTAATTCTACAAAATTCATTTGAAGGAAAAATTTTTTGAAATGATTTCCAAAATCTGAGAAAAAATTTATTTAAAATTCAAATATTTTTGGGCTGAAATTTGAAAAAATTGTAGACCTACGCCTATGCATTCCCACTGTTGTCCACCTGTCTGTCCTTCCTTAATCTCAAGGATGGAGTTTGATGAAAGTTGGAACCAGATATGGAAAGCTTAGGGGCAGGAGGTCCCAATTAACTATACACTGGAACCTTGCTTAATGAGTATTTCACATAACGAGCAATGAGAAGAGGGGAAGTCCCGGATTGTGTGCATGCTCCATCAGTCTTTTAGCACTTGTTCCGCTAGCATCTTAGTGTCACTTGTGATCACACATTTTTCCAAACTTGTGTTCAGACTTATTACATATAAACTAAATAAATAACCATAGTTCCTTACATAATAAACACACCAAACAATATGCCAAATTCTTGGGCTACGTAAAGGCTATAATTAAATATTAGAAATTAATTAATTTGACTAGAGGTAGGCAGTTATGCTTCCATCTCATATTAAATTTAATGACCAATTCCAAATTAAATTTTAGAAATGTCTAAATTAAAAAATTGTTTATTTATAATTATTAAATTTGAAATTTGAAAGTTTAAGAACCAGCTCAACAGTTTTGAGTGAATGCCTGAAGAAGAGCCCAGAAGGGGTGTCAAAAACATTTGCATTTTAAAAACGAATGTTGCTCCGGTTAATTGGTTACAAGTAAGAAGTTTTATATTCAACCCAGTGTGTTAGAAAGTTAAATAACATGTTTAGTGTTTTGACATCACATTTGATAGCGTCTTTCATTTACGCTACCTATTGCTACCTGAAACTGATCACGAGACTTTTTGTTCCAACGCAACATCACTCTTCATTCATCAGATCCAGGTTGCTATGTAACAGCTACCAATTTGCTCACTTACAACTGTTGAGTCTATTGAATGCAGCCACCATTGATGTAAAGTAGACAAAATGAATATTAAGTAAAAAGGTATCAATGGTAGGTGCTTATTTTTGTATATTCAGTTGGTATTTTCTTAAAAGTTGTGTTTTTTTAGATGTTCATGGCAACCAACTGAATCCTAAGTCTATCATTGTTTTATGCAATGCAGTTTGTTAGGTTTAATTCTGGGCTCAAAAAGTTCATTACACACAATCTATCCCTTGTTATTTTTTCCATAGCAGTCATGATTCAATTCTTTAGTGTTGGAGATCTTGGGACAAAAGTAATATTTAGACACTTTTTAATGCCTTTTATGTATCCCCATAAAAGGAAATCACACAGTGAAAAGCTCCTGAGACTGGGATCATAGAGGAAGATCAGCTATTCCAGCACATCGTAGCTATCAATGTGGACTTCTTAAGAAGTCACATTAATAGACAGGATGTGATGGAGATTCTTTTATAAAGAAGCCAGACTTTGTTATGAAAATACAGCAGTGCTCCATCTTGTTGGAAAGCAGAAATTCCTAAAACAATGGTGTGACATAAAAGTAACTCATGACTAGTTCATATTAACTTTTTCAAGCTCTGCTTGAAAGCTCAAACTCTGCACATTTTCGATCAACCAGAACTTTTTTCTTTACAAAAGGCATCCCTTATATTGAAACTGTCAATATTACTTGTAATTGCTGTTATCAGATATCAGATCAATGTTAAATTAGCTTTAAAACTCAGGTTGTACTACAGTTATAAATCGTGACTTGGCAAACCATAGTATACAAAACAGATTCTGCTGCGGCAGCAGAATTTTCATTCCTTGTGTTGTCCAGCAGTTAAATAAAAATACTTTTTTTTTTTTGTCAGATAAATGTCCAAACTTAAACAGTTTATATACCATTTGATGCAAATCAAACATTTTTAAGTTTACTGTTACCAAAACTATACATCTTCAAAATACTGATATTCTTTATGACTAGCCATGTATATTTTAAATGAACTATCATCATTTATTCGTGTGATAATTCATTATATGAAATTTTACATTTATTACAGAAATATTTTATTTTCTAAAAAAATGTTCTTTATATCTAAATAATCAAATTTTACACAACAAAGAAAATATCATTATTCTTACCAATAATATATGTTTCAGTCCCAGGTCAGGTTTCCAATCTTTCTTCAATGTATTCACACAGATCTCTCCGTTTCTAGCTACATTTGGATGAAAAATTTTAGTAACAAAGTAACCTTTTGGTGGACCAGATGGAAAATCTTTTCCCAAAACAAGTTTCACTCTAAACATTCCTCCAGCATAAGGTGTGCCAGCTAGTAAAGAAATAATAACTTATTATAAAATATAAATCAGTTATTCAAATGTCAACTCTTGAGCCTTTCATGACCCAAAAGGCAATTATGAAATGATTTAACTCAATCTTGTTTAAAAAAAGTTAGAATTTCTTTTTATAGTCAAAACCTTTTGTTTATAAATGCCATTTTCAATCGTTGAAACCTTTACATACTTATATATTTATAAAATTTTTCATAAAATAATTGTTATAAGATTAGAAGAAAAAAATTTAATAAAAGCTTCAAATGTAATTAATTAGAAGAGATCAAGAATTGCAGATTGGATGAATAAATTCTAAACTAAGTTTTAAATGAAGTTTCATAAATTTCACACAACTGACAACATATAAAATACTTCATTAAAACTTTCTTGCAGCCTTTCTCTTTTTGTTGAAAGGGTCCCTTCATAACTTTAGAAGTTTTATCATGCCAAATAATATTAACATACTAAATGAATAGCACTTTCAGCATACTATCTTGCACACCATGACAAAAGCACAAGTCTCAAAAATTATATTTAATAATTCATCATTTAAAATGTAGACTTTGACTGCATATTTGCTTTTATTGGCTTAATCAGATTTTGAGTTTTTGGCAATCCAAGTAATCTGTTAAAATGATATTCTAGAGAAGTGTTTTTCAACCTTCTTGAATACGTGACCCCTTTACAAGTTAAAAACTTCTGGAAACCCCCCAGGGCCATATTAAAACTATATCAGTCATTTTAAAAGCTACGTATTTAATTTTCTTTCTGTTGAGACCTAAATATCGATCGAAAAACCAATTGTGCTGTAAAATAAACAGGTACAGCCTTCTCACTGAAATTGTAGTTTTTTAATTGTACTGTAGGACCTACAAACACTTTCTTTTTCTTTTACCCACGACCCCCCGTGTAAGGCTTTGTGACCCCCCCTGGGGATCATGACCCACAGATTGAAAAAACACTGTTCTACAGTATGTAGTTTATCATCATCTTTTAGTCAAGTTAGTTACTTGTCAAGTTTACTTTGAATGTTCTTTGTCAAAATAAGTTCTGTTTTCATTTCAAGCATAGACCTTCCTCTTAGGCGTCGTAGGTTTATAATATTAATTATTTAAAAATGTCCAATACTTTTTAATTATCAAAAGCAATTACTACTTTCCTTCTCATTTACTAAAATATCAAACTATCTAAATAAAACTAAAAGCATCAGATTAAAATATGCATTTTATTAAAACTTATTTTAAAAAAACATTATATCAAATTTCAAATGAAAAAAATAATATGCAAAAATTTCTAATAGAAAAGTTTATTCTCTGAAAAAAACCAATATCATCAACAGGAATGAAATTTATTCAAACAGATATTTTAAAAATTAAGTTATAAGATAAAATTAATTTTTATAATTTTTACTTTATAGAGAAAAATAATTAGAAAGTCTTACCTGGACCTTCCAATAATGCTTGTATATCAGTTATGTCATCTTCATTAAGAAGAATTTTAATTCCTTCAGGTGGATTTGAGGCTAATTCGGTAAGCTCCTTTGAAACTTGGCGAATGACTTGAGGTGAAAGGTTTTCAACATTGGAATTCTATAATTATATTTTAATATTTAATATAAATGAACAAGATAAAACTATAGCAAAATAAAACCTAATATTGAATTTTTAGATAAATTGCACCAATTATTGGGGTGCAATTTATCTAAAAATTCAATATTAGGTTTTATTTTGTAATTTATAAAAAACTTAATTAAAAGGACATATTTTGTTACAGTTACTTGCTCCAAAATAGCATCATCTCTTATCATGTAGTACAGAGGTGGTGGAACCTATGGTACGCATGCCCAAAGTGGCACGTCAAAGAAATCATCCGGCATGTAACGTATTATACGATATCGGTTTATTATCTTTTTCAATCAGGTTCTTTACATTTATTCTAATTACAGCATATTATTTTATTTATTTAAATATAGTTTTTTAAAACTCTTTTTGCCCTGTGGGTACTAAGAGGGCTTTTTTATTTAGCAAGTCCACAATAGGACAGCCGGGTGGGAAGAATAGATCACCACCTGAAAATTTTCTGGGGTTTCGACCTCGGGTCCACAAGAGCGATAATATAATATAATATAATATAGTTAATAGAAGTCTANTTAAAACTCTTTTTGCCCTGTGGGCACTAAGAGGGCTTTTTTATTTAGCTAACTCCAAATGGAACAGTTGGATCACCACCTGAAAATTTTCTGGGGTTTTGATCTCGGGTCCACAAGAGCGATAAGCTACCACTTTGACTGCTCGGCCATTCCGCCAAATTTTAATATAGTTACTAGAAGTCTAAAACTTCTGCACGCATAATCATTTTTAAAGAAAAGTATGCTTAATATGCTTACTATGTGGCACACAGACTCAAAAAGGTTTGCCATCCCTGATGTAGTAGAAGAAATGGATACTTATTCAGACATTTAATTAAAGATACATCATTTAACCATATACCATACATTAAATAAAATGTCATGACATTTATGTCTTTCACCTGTCCACAGTTGTGTAAAGTAAGGGATGGTGTTTATTTTTCTTGGGTTTCTACTGAAAAATTTTTTATATGGATTCTATTTTAGGTAAAAATAATAAAATTCATTGCCAGTGTTATTTACATTTAATACATAAAAATATAAATATAAATACGACTTTGTAAAAAAGTTGTATTTATATTTATATTTTTATGTATTAAATGTATTCTATTTTGCTGGGTTCAATGGTAGATTTTGCTTTGTAACCAAAACATACAATAATATAGTTAGTAAAATACAATATTTATAATTAAAGTCTAGCTAAACAGAATTCCTACTTTTTAAAAACAAAAAATTTTGATACAATACTAACGGTACATATTAAATTTCAACATAGTCATCACAGTCATATTCATCTGTGTTGATTACAGTTTGATTTTCTTCCAATAGATTATCATCTTCCTCTTTATCATCAAGCCTGATATCACAGCATCTTGGCTTTCTGATTCTGGCAACTGCCATTCTTTTTCCATGCAAACAAACAATGATCATTTTCACTGTGCTAAGGACATTTAAAACCCCACAATATGAAAACAAGTCTTTCATTTGCTGTTCAAGAATTTCCATCCAGGCATTGAATCCATTTCAAAATTTTTTCTAGAGAAGTATGCATTCAACCACATGCCATATACTAATCTCTGGCCATCCAATCATTGTACTTATTATATCATGCCTGGAAACTTATTCTAGAAGATACATGTGATACCTGTTGGCTGAATGAATTCTGTACATTTCATGAAATAACTGCAGGATCTAGACAAATTGCTATCACAAATTCTGGAAACATTTTTTCTAGGTCAGGCATTGGTTGATTTTGCCTCAAAACAACCTACGACTTCATCTTCCATCAGTCTTAGCAGTTACCATCAGTATGTGGCAATATCATAATAAATTATGATATTGTTTGAATTGATAGCTAAATCCTCAATTTGTCTTGAATTCTCTAGTCAATTCAGGATTTGCCATAGTGATTACAATACATTTTTGCCTCTCTGCTCATCATTTTTAGTTGTCATCTGAAGCTTATTTCATAAGCCCTAAACAAAACTCTGTAAATGGGATTCCAGTTCTTCAATGAAGATCTTACAGGCTCTTCCTTCCAATCAAACTATTGTTTTAGGATTTATTTCTGTTTCATTGGCTTGCTTCTCCACTCTAATTTCTTTCTTTTTTTGCCAATATGCAAGCTTTCAGCAGCTGTCCAATTTGATCCTAATGCCTTCTCTACTGCAACTAACTTATCTTTAAGGATTAATTTATTCTTTTCTTATCTTTATGAGACCCATTACTTTAAAGTTTCTTCATCTATTACACAGATTGGATTAAAAAGTTTATACAATCTGATGTAATGGCACACAAAAACACTTGCTAATTTGTTCACATAAATGACAATTTTTTAAATGTATTGAGTCATTTTTATTTGGTGGTCATTTGAACTCAACCCCATTGGCTGTTAGCTTTTTATGAAGAACTTACTACACAAAACCTTTGAAATCTGTTTCTATTTCATGTAATGAATGAAGAATGTTAGAATAAAGCAATGATCAGTTCTTAGGATTCAATTCAATGAAAATATAGATTCTCATTCAATCGAATCTGAAGAAAACACCACCACCCAAAACCAGCAAATAAACTGAAAATGTTATTCTAACAATCATCATCAGGTATCATGTTTTAGTATTTATTTGCTAGCTTTTGGGTGTTGTGATATTCTTTGTATTTAGTACAACCAGTTTTTTCTGTGGCAAATGAATTGAATCCTATTGACTTTTCATTTGGAAAAAATAAAATAAACAGTAATATGCTACTGAACATAATTTGCAGCTTTGAATGCATACAGACAGGGAAAATGTTTCTACATTCAAGTTGTGTAATACTTGATAACATTTATTTGATAGTTAAACATATACTTTTTACATACCAAATAAATGTTATTACTAAGTATTACACGACTTGCATGTAGAAACATTCTCCTTGTGAATTGTCACTGCTCCACATGGACTCCCCTCATCCTAAGCCATGTCATCAATTGAAAGTGAACACACAAGAAAAGTCTACATTTTGATTAAAATGGTATTTATTCATCTTGTAGGAATAGGACTGTGGCAATTATTTGGTAATATACAGCATATTATGAAGAAAACAATGTAAATTTTATCAACTCATTTTATGTATCATTCTAAGATCAATGCTTACAAAACTGTTTTGACAAATAAATGATTATTTGATTTGCTGTCATTTGGACATAATCATACTTTAGAACATTTTCAGGTATTTGCTTATTTGAGAAAGTCTAAATGCTTTTTGTAAAGCTTAAATATCTGCACATTAGAGGTACTAGTATAATACATATATAAACATCTCTAAGCACAATTTTTAAAATATAACCATCATCTTTTTTTGGAACCTTTGTATTCAAATTTTAAGAAATGTAGTAGAATTGATATGCATCTTTTCTAAAATAGTTTATTCTTTTGTATCTAAGTAGAACAGAAGATTTATGTTCAAATTTTAAATAAATCAAATATCAGTCTTTTCTAAGTTGGATACTGGCTATAATAAATTTTGAAATTTGTATGAGTTGCATCTCAAAAATTTTAATCAGAATTAATTTTAAAAACTTAATTCTAATTAATAAGAAAATGCCACTTATCTCTAGAAAAATTTCAAAATAATATCTAGCCTTTAGTCTAGAATCATACAATGGGTCTATTAAGTTGAGATAAGTAAACTTTTTGCCCCTACTAATTCAATTCAATAGTCTGAAAAAAAAAAAATGGAAATATTTATTTGATTTACTATCAATTTCAAGTTTTTGAATCATACAGTGATAAAAACTTTAGAAGTAAAATTTGAGTCATCATTTCATTAATGCCACTTTTTTTTCTTTCTCCTCTTATGGTTTCATCTAAATGTTCTTTTACATATGACTATCTTTTCTGAATAATATTTGACATGTTTTTGTTTCATGTCACATTACAATACATAATACAGAAAACATCTTATTTAAAATTCAAATTCTGCTATTTAAAAATATATTCTGATTGGATTGTAATAACAATTTCAAAATTGCCTTTCCAATATCAAAAATATAGGAAAGTTATTCGAATTTGAACAGTAATGTTGACAGAAAATGTTACACTATCATCATCATAGATAATATTACAGGATTTATATAACTGAATACAGAAAAACAGATTCAGTTTCTATTTTTTTTTTTAAATGAACTTGTGATCTAAGACTGAATTAAAATGCTATCAGTCAAATCATATTAAATTGACTGCAATAGTCATTCTATCATATGAATGCAAAACTGAACATTTTTGATCAAGCATCCAAAGATATTTTCTCAAATTCTAAATTAAATTGGAGGCTTGCAAGGCCCATCACACTATGAAAATAGTGCATAAAAGCTCCAATTCTAAAATATCTAAATTGTATGTTTATATGTATCCTTTGATAACAATAGCAAGGTTGTGGCCAAAGTTTTCAATGCAAAAACATGAACATCAGACGTTGAGCACCACCTTCTTGTAAGCCTAGAAGTTTGACAATGGCATTTGGAATGTCAGTGGAAACATGCTCGATGTTTCAAATGTAAATGTCAAACTTCTAGGCTTACAGGAAGACGGTGCTCAGCTCAATGTCCAACATTCACGTTTTTGCATTGAAAACTTTGGCTGCAGCCTCACTAATACAATAGAGCATTGATTACCTGAAACAATTCGGGACTGGGGTTGTTCGGATAACTGATCATTTATGAAAAATATATTAAACACACAAAAAACTATATTGTATATATTTTGTATCGCACATCTTATAAATACATATCTTACATAAAGTAGTGCATTAAAGTAGGACTTCAGTTTAGGTTGGCAGGGAGGGGGAGAATGCCGCAGTGCCAAGGCACTAGTGGAAATTTGAATTTGCAGACTGGAACACTTTCGGTTAACTGATGCTCTACTGTATATGATTATGATAAACAATTATTTAACATGATCAAGATTAATTTAGGTTTTGGGA